ATCTCAGGTTGAACCTAAAATAAATCTATTCAGGATTTTAATGAATCAATATCACGTTATCCAAGCTAGAATCAATTTTAATCAATAAATCGATTATCAAAACCCAGCCCTAACCACCAGAGTCGCACTGAACCAGGAGAGAGTTTACTCAGCTGAGCAAGAGGATTTCCTCACAGACCGCTTTTCACAGCGCCCCCTGCTGGGCATGAGAAAGAATGCAGGTTTAAAATGCTGCACCCACGTTTTACATCAGGGTGGGGATCTCCAAGGGCCGGTGTCCTGTGGGTTTTAGACCTCACCCTGGGCTAACACACCTGAACTAAATGATTAGTACAGGTGTGTTGAGGAGGTAATGTAGCCATTTAAATCAGCTGTGTTGGCTCGAGGACACGTCCACAACCTGCAGGACACTGGCCCTCGACCAGCCGAGGGAGTGGCTTAGTGACCAAAACAAAATAACCAAGATTATGATTTAAAATAATCGTGAGCAAAACACTAAATCACTGTTCCGACAGCCTGACTGCCTGCAGCGGTTTAAAGGGTGGAGCCTAAACTCTGGATTATTGTTCATGGTTTAATTTATTATGCTAGAGTACACATGTGTGTTTCACGTTATGTTACTCGTTATTCTCACGTTTTACTCATTTCACAGAGGAGCGTTCGGCCTGGCTGACCTGCTGAAGCACAGGGTGCGTTTGATTTCCATACCTGTGTAGTGGTGAGCAGGATGGGCTGGCTGCTGCCAGTGCCGGCGGCCGCTGGAAGTAGGAACGTTCCACCCGCTGTCTGAGTCAGGATGAGTGGTGGAGCTTGAGCCATCAGGCGTGGGGCCGTGGAGGCAACAGGGAGGCGCGGGGCAGAGGAGGAGGCGGTAACGACAGAGGAAGGAGGTATCACAGAGGAAGAGGAGACGACCTGGGCAGGTGATGAAGCTGAAGAAGAGAGAAAGGTTAGCAGAAGGACTCGGTGAAAGCTTTTACGGAGGGACACGGAAGCACAGACTGCTCCTCCACATCCAGGAACACCTTCAGCTCACAGCACCGCGTCTCTGCTGCTTCAGGCTGTTCCAGGATCAGCTTCAGACATCGTCACGTTTGGTTCTCCAACAAAGCTGCTGAAGCTCTGCCTGTCCCAGAGAAGAGGTCTGCTGCTTTTACCTTTGACCTGCTGACCCTTTGCTGCCACTTTCCTCCACACTGTGTTAGCTCTGCTGCTCTGACACACGAACATCAGACAGAGAGCGGCCACACTCAACACCTGAACCTGACGACACCTGTAAACTCAGCTTTATTCATCTCGTGCTAGATCACACAGTCAACAGTCATGCTGTCAGAGTCTACAGTAACACAACTGATCTAAGCATCCAAGTGAAGACACCGTCTGGGGCTCCTGTTGTGTCATCGGCTAATCAAAGAAACACCGAACACATACCTGTTGCAGCAGATGTGATGGGTGGGGGGGTCCTTGGAGGTGGAGTCTCAGAGACTGGGAGTGGAGATGGAGAATCCTCCACTACATGGAGAGAGAGAGAGAGAGAGAGAGAGAGAGAGAGAGAGAGAGAGAGAGAGAGAGTCTGGTTCTAGGGTTTGACTCAGGTCCAGAGTGTCCAGAACTGGTTTTAGAGTTTGGACCTGGTTCTGAGACTCACCTGGCTCTCCATAGTTGTCCATGAAGTCCATGTCATCTTCCTCCACACTGTCATCCACCTGTTGCCATGGCTCCAGCTCCTCCTCCTCACACTCCATAAACAGCTCTGTATCCATGTTGCTATGGAAACCACCAGAGAAACCATCATTGTAACCACGATAAAAGAAAAATCTGACCAGCAGCATTTCCACTACGTCACATGACATTGGTACACTGGTACTGCACACCTGCAGCTTAGAGTTATATTTAACCTGAGAGCCAGGTGAGCAGGTGATCTTTTCACAGGTAACTTTAGCTGTAAATACTCGAGTGCGTTTAGTTTCAGAGAACACCTGTGAGCCCAAAGACCAATGAGAGAAAGGCGGAGTCGTCTCTCAGCGTTACCACAGTGACATTAAACCAAAAACTACAAACAGACATGTCCTTCAGGGACAAATCAGCTGAAAGACTCTGTGGTGCGTCCACAGCCTGAGGACGGGTCCATCAGGTTTGATCAGCATCACAGACGCTGATGTTTGTGTCAGTGAACCTCACAGCTGCGCAGTTCAGTCCCGGTTTGAACAGAAGTCGGTTGATTTAAAACATTTATGATTTAAATGAGGACACCTGTGCACTCCAGTCAAACACCTGCGTTTGCCGAACACGCTGATCAGGATGACCTGACCCCGCTGATCACGCGCACAATCACGGCAGCGGCGTTAGTGTGGACAGACTTCCGGTCACTGTGACGTTTCGATGCCTTCTGTTGCTGCCGTTTGTGCTCTGTCTCTTTGTCACGGCTCTTATTTTAAATAAAGTAGTGGTGTGATTAACAAAGGCTGGCCTTCATTCGCTCAGCTGACGGTGAAGTTAAACAACAGCAGCTCTGCACAAACTCTGACGTCGGTAAACCTTTTTAAATAAAGTTGGGTTTAATCAGCTGTAGTTGCAGGTGTAATGGCAGCTGCCGCCACAGGGGGCGCTCGGCCCGCTCTCCGGGTTTTTGTTCCTTTCAACCCGGCTGAGACGCGCCTGTCGGCGGGGACCCGAACCTACAGGCCGAGCGGGCCCAGCTGAGCCGAGCCGGGTCACCGGGCTCTCGGTCAGGACCAGAGCTCAGCACGCAGCGCGCACCCCGTCTGCTCTGCACCGCCCCGCCGGGGACAGCTCGTCGCTGCACGCCGAGCGCCTTCCGAAAGCTTCAGCGGGGCCTGCGTGTGACGCCGGGACAAGCCGTGCCGGGCCGGGCTTACCTGAAACTGGAGCGGCACCGCGGAGCTCGGACGGGTTCGCACGGCTTTTCTCGAAGCGCGCTCCGGTTCGACAGTCAGGGGGCGGGCCTTCCGCCCGCTGCCGTTTTACATCTGCAGATTGGTCCGCACAGACCCGTCACTTCCTGTTCAGGTGGCCTGCAGCTCATTGGTCAGTGGAATCTTTGTGGAGGAGCTGAACCGAGCCGCGGCCGTCAGGATAGAGGCGAGCAGACCGGATTACCGGGCCGGGGGACAGCGGGCTCCGCGGCCGGTCAGCGGGGGCCGACGGGCGCCAGGACCGCCGCCACGCTTGGGCCAGGGCGCCATCTTCTTTTTGTTTTGTTTTGATGGGGCGTGACCAATGTCCGTGACGTCACGAGCTGAAAAAGCGCGTCGTAAAATAAAAACGAGTTTATTTTTTCAGGTGTTTGTGCTTCAGAAAAAAGTACCTCACACAGGTGAGGCTCACCTTTCAGCCAGGTCTCAACACAGTAGCACGCGCACAGAACTTCCTGTGACACGCTGTGATGTCATAATGAACCAGAAGTTTTCCAGACAAATCTTGAGCATAACAAATCACGTAAATCTAAAATGTATATTTTCTGAATCATTTTCAGTTTAGAGCAAAGAGAAGGTTTCATAAAATAACTAGCCCTGGCAGTATAACGGGCCGTTTTTGTCCCCGTGTTTCTGAAGCACACACCCACAGAGTGCTGATGTGGATCTGCAGACCTTTAAATTAGACTTTGGTTAGTAGAGTTTACTAACAGAGCAGATGAAACTCGCGCTGAGAGCAGGACTGTTATATGTATTATGTAGCGATTTTATTCTGATTTCGTTTCATTTTATTGTTTACCAAAGAGCAGCGCGTCATCGAAGTAAATAAATGGTAAATGGCCTGTATTTATATAGCGCTTTACTAGTCCCTAAGGACCCCAAAGCGCTTTACATATCCAGTCATCCACCCATTTACACACTGGTGATGGCAGCTACATTGTAGCCACAGCCACCCTGGGGTGCACTGACAGAGGCGAGGCTGCCGGACACTGGCGCCACCGGGCCCTCTGAAGTCAACGTTATTGTCAAAAACTACATGTACAGGTCACACACAGGAACCTGCAGGGCTCCCGTGGCCCTCAGCGTTACACTAAACAACATGAAAGTCTTATACACACAAGTGTCCAACACAATGCGAGTGTTTGTGGGCACTGTGGGTCAGAGGGAAGACGTGGGTGCAGGTCTGGTCGACAGGTTCAGCATCCTGACGGCCTGATGGATGAAGCTGTCTCTCAGTCTGCTGGTTCTGGCCCCGAGGCTCTTCAGTCTCCTTCCTGATGGCAGCAAACTGAAGAAGCTGTTGGACGGATGGGTGGAGTCACCTGTGACGCAGAGAGCTTTTTGGGTGAGGCGGGTGCAGTAGATGTCCTGGAGAGAGCGAAGAGAAGCACCCACGATCCTCTCTCTGCTCTCACTGCTAGCTGTAGCTGTTTCCTGCAGACCCAGTGCAGCAGCCGTACCACACGGTGATGCAGCTGGTGAGGATGCCTCTGTAGAAGGTGCTCATCGTGGGGGTCGAGGCTCTCGCTCTCCTCAGTTTGAGCAGGAAGTAGAGTCACTGTTGGGCTTTACTGACCATGATGCTGTGTTCTTTGACCAGGAGAGAACTTCTGAGATGTGCACACCCAGGAACTTGGTGCTGCTTACTCTCTCCACAGCAGCACCACTGATGGTCAGTGGGGTGTGCAGGGTGTGAGTTCTCCTGGTCTATGATGATCTCCTTGGTCTTCTCCACGTTCAGGGACTCAGCCAGATGTTTAACTTCACTCCTGTCGTAGGTCTCATGGTTGTTGCTGATGTGACCTACCACAGTTGTGTAGTCTGCAAACTTGAGGAAGCAGTTGTGTGATGGTGTGCAGTCGTGGGTCAGCAGAGTGAAGAGCGCATCCTCGGGGAGCCCCCGTGTCCTGCTGCTGGAGGTGCCGACCGACTGTCATCACTAACAGTTTCTTTTTCCTGCCCATGGCAGAGATTGGTGGTTTGTGGAACTGATTCCAGAGCAGCTCTGTGCTGGATAATCTCCTCTAATCTGTTAATCCTCCTTCCTCCGTCTGGTTTAGCTTCCTCTCAGTCTGTTCTGACCTGCAGGGATGAAAGCTGCACATTCTGGGAGCTTCCTGGTGCTGCCGTGGCCCGGTGGCGGCGGCAGCTCAGACCCGGCCCAGGGAGAGGAAAGTCAGGGCTGCCTGATGCTGAGATCTGGAGCTCTGCTGGGAGTCACGCTGATCTGTAAGATTTAACTTCTCATTAATTCAAACAGTGTTACATTACAGCCCAAATAATGTCTCAGTTAATAATACAGACTGAGAGGCACTGACCTGCATGCAGACTAGGGATGGGTATCGTTTAGGTTTTATCTGATACCGGTGCCAAATCGGTACTTTTGAAACGGTGCCGGTGCTTAAACGGTGCTCTAACCGGTGCTTAAAGAATGGAGAACACAAAATTTGTCCAAAAACCTCTCATGTTCAGCTGTTTTTTGTAAAAAGATAACAATGTTAGCCTTTTCTGCAGCTATGGGGCATATATGGTATCACTCTTGGCTGGAAGCAGTGCTTAAACAATGGAAAAAAACACAAACTTTGTCCAAAAACCTCTCATGTTCAGCTGTTTTCCACTTTTTCTTTGGTCATTTTAGCCTTTTTGGCCAGGGTGAAGGGAGTATCTGCCATCAAACAAGAAGACAGCCGCATGTAGCTATGATGATGTTTGCTAGTTCACCTTACATGCATTAATGTAATAACGTGGTTAGCCTACTCAACGTAAATTACACACGAACAACATGAAGCTACTCACGCAGAGAAGAACGGCTGCTGCTGCATCATCATCCTCATCATTTCTGCTACACTGGCAGGGCTAGGGGCCAGGACTCTCCTCTTCGGGTTTTGGGGGATGTTGCTAACTCCGGGTCCGATAACAGGCACCACACCCGCAGTAGATGTGCTCGGTGTGAGGTCTCGCAGCAAGCTATCAAATACGGCGCATTTCTCGGCTTTTAAAAAAAACGCTATGCGTCGCCAGGTGTTTCATCGGATTCGAGGTGTAACCTCCTTTGACAGTATCAGCTTAAAGCACTTGTTGCAGGCTGCTGAGTTTGCATCTTTTGCTGTGAAGTACAGCCAGACTTTGACCGCTTCGCCTTGGGCATTTTTAATCTGTAGCTCTGCTCTAAAAGAACGTACGTACCTGGCCCCGCCTACTATCCTCGGAAACATAAAATGATTGGCTAGAAGTGTATCACAGCTCAGGAAAAAAAAGCACCGAAATAAAGCACCGAAATGTGCGCTGCTTTTCGGTCTGGTTACTACCGTTTATGTCAGAACCGGTGCCATCATGGCACCGGACACCGGTACCCATCCCTAATGCAGACAAATACATTCTTGTTGTTCTGCATTCGGGGTCCAGATCCACAGCTGGAGCCGCTGCTGCTGCTGTGAGCTTACACGCAGAGTCAGTTTTGATGCAGGCAGGTTAATGTCAGCGTTCCTCGAAGAGTTCATGAAGAAATACAAATGCTGAGTTTCTCACAGAAATAACAGATCCAGGCCTCGCCCCACTGCTGCCGTACTGACAGAGAGTGTGTGTGTGTCTGCAGGCGTGGCGGTGTTGAGGAAGTGGATCGCAGGTGGAGTTTGTCGCTGTTCGGTTCGTCTGGATGGGAGAACAGTTGTGATCACTGGAGCAAACGCTGGCATCGGCAAAGAGACGAGCAGAGATCTGGCACGCCGAGGTCAGCCCGGTTTGATCCCGTCTTACTGCCCGAACACTCGAATGTCTCCTACAAGAAAGGACGAAGCTTTAGAAGCTGCTGACAGGGAAACACTACAGTCCCATGTTGTGGGCGTGTTATTGTAATCTGAGAAACACCTGTGATTCAGCCAAACATTCCCACGCCATAACACTGCCTCCACCCTTTTCTCTCCATCCTCCTGATACAGCTTCATCTCAGTTTCACATGTCCAAAGACGGTTTTCAGAAAGCGCTTGTTTTAAAGTCTGATCGATACAAGAAGGTCTGCACCTTGTTGTATCTCCATCCATGAAAGCATCGCAGTGATCGTCCTGCACAGCGTTTCAGGCCTTTTAGATGCTGTGAAGTTGTTTTTCTTACCATGGAAATAATTCTGTAATCTTCCACTTCAGTGTCTTCTGTGGTCGTTAAGGTTCTTGGTGCTGCTGAGCTGTTTGGTGCATTGATTATTTTAAACACTGATCCACTGATTTGATTGGCTGTTCTTTAGTGAACATGGTGCTCAGCTGTGGAAACCTTTCTTCGTTTCACTCAAATGTGATTGAAAGTCATTCGACATCTGTAACAGTTCAAAGCATTTCTAGAAGGTCATGAAAGAAGACGAGATGTGCGCGAGGGCGACTAATCCTGGCTCAGCAGCCGAGGCCTGGGCGCGTCCGATTGCTGCCGCCATGTTTCCCACTCCAGGAACAGAAACTCTTCTTTCTGTTCTCGTGAAAGCTGAAGTCTGTACATGTTTCACCTCACCACTTACTTTAAGAAAGCAATTAGTTACTAATTACTGATTACTTACTTAGTTACTTTATTACTTAGTTGCTTTTCAAAAGATTAATACACAAGCTGAATATAAAATAAACTGAATCGACCTTTCAGTACATTTTGTCTTCATATAAATTTGAATGAAATGTAAAAATCTCTTTGTTGTTTTATGAGTTTTAACCTTTTAACTTTACGCATCAAGCAAAAATGAAATTATTTCAACTGCATGTTCCAGCATATAAAATAAAATCATGTTTTGTGTTTACACTCTGCAATAAAACCCAGCGGAAAATAAACAGAATCACAGACTCGGCAGCTCTTAAATCTGTTGTCACCTGTTTAGCAGGAGTCGGGCGGGTGGAGGTTCGCCCACAGCGGTCGTGTCAGTGGGCGGATCTGGGCGTTTCTCTGTGAGTGTCACGTTCCCGTGGCAGCGTGCTCGCTGCTTGCTCAGATTTAGAAAGACGTTTTGTTCCCATGCAGAGTGCACAGCGGACGCTGATGTGTTTGTCACTTGTTACTGCATTAAGGAGCCCGGGTGGTGATGGCGTGCAGGGACCTGACCCGGGCAGAACGGGCGGCTGAGGAAATCCGCCGGTCGACAGGAAACGGTAACGTGGTGATCAGACACCTGGACCTCGCTTCCACGTACTCCATTAGACAGTTTGCTAAAGATTTCCTGGACAGCGAAGAAAGGCTGGACATCCTCATCAACAATGCAGGTGAGCGCACCTGTGAACAGGTGAATGCCCGTTCGTCTTTTTGTCGTTCTGAGCATCCGTCTGTCTGCAGGAGTGATGATGTGTCCAAAACAGCTGACCGAGGACAACTTTGAGACACAGCTGGCGGTCAACCATCTGGGTCACTTCCTGCTCACTAATCTGCTGCTGCCGAAGCTGAAGAGCTCCTCCCCCAGCCGTGTGGTCAACGTGTCCTCCGTTGCCCACCGTGGAGGTACCCCCAACCCCTTAAAAGATCTCAGTGCTGATGATGTTTGCGTTGTTTCTTTAACACCTCATGTGTTTTTTACAGGTCGTATTGACTTTGACGATCTGTTCTTCAGCCGGAGGCCGTACGGCGCTCTGGAGAGCTACAGACAGAGCAAACTGGCTAACATCCTCTTCTCCAGAGAGCTGGCCCGACGTCTCTCAGGTCCCCACAAACACTGAACGCCACAAACGCTCAGAGCTCCCCGTAGCCTCAGAGGTCCCTACTGTAAAATGGTTTGACGGGAGGAAGGGTTATCTCGCCTCTCAGCGCTGTGATGTGATTGACCGCCGAGCTCCCGAAAGTACCTGTGAACCCGCCTCCTGACTCTGTCCTCACCTTTCCTGCAGGCTCTGGTGTGTCGTCGTTCTCTCTTCACCCAGGCGTGATCCGGACCGAGCTGGGTCGCCATGTGGAGGGTTGGTTCCCCCTGGTCGGGCTGCTGCTGAAGCTCCCATCCCTGCTGCTCATGAAGACTCCGTGGGAGGGCTGCCAGACCAGCCTGTACTGCGCTGTGACGCCGGGCCTGGAGGAGCTGTCTGGATGCTACTTCAGGTAGGAGGCAGGGGAGGGGCCAAAGAAACACCTGTGCCTCTTTCTGTTCCCTGAGCATCTCAAAGTGTTAAAGTCCGAGGAGCAGAATTCAGGTAAAACAAGAGTAGACAGCTCTGATAATAAATGTGGGCGTGTCTGAGCTGCTGAATGGTAAACAAATAAAACCGTTCTGAGATCAGAGTTTTCACTTCCTGTCATTTCTCTGTTTCCTTTCATGAGATTTCTCCTCTCTCAGCTTTAAGTAGTAAACACGTTCGAATAAATGGAATAACTTTTTAAAATGATGTTACTGAAGCCCTCTGCGTTTCTGCCTGCCAGCGACAGGGTGGACTACTTTGTTTCAGCTGATGCTCGCTAGCTTGACTGTCAGCATGCATCCGCAGGCTGTGAGAGGCTATCACACTGACACAGATACCTGCTAAGCACTAACTGTAGGAGCCATATGAGTTGTTTCCGTCTGACTAAATGGGTTGGTTTAAATGGACTCACTGTATTGGTGCATGGGTGTGGGGCGTGTCTCATGGGTGTGGTATAATAAATGTGGTTGCACTCACTTGTACACAGCACCTGATGTGATGAGCAGAAGGTAGGGTGAGCACGAGGCAAAACTTTCTGTTGACCGCAACATGTCGCAACATAGCGCAACATACTTGAGCACAATTTGAATGATTTGATATATTGGACTGTAACTTGATGGTGTTTGTATAGTTGTGCACTAATTGCTGCCATAGACCAGTTTGTAATTTTGACATAGTAGCTAGTGCATTTATTCGTAAGTTGCAGTTATTTGCTTGTGCAGTCTGTGCGTTTGTTTGATAGTTGTTCCCATGTGCTGATTTGTAGTTTGGACAGTGGCATGTGTAAATAAAGAAGCAAATGATACAGAAGTGTTTTGTGCGTTAATTGTTGCGCGTCATCAGGGTCCTCATGTTTAGCCTGCCGCGGCCATTGGTTGGAAGAGCCGCAACACTAACATCCAATTAAAACCCACAAATTTCACTCACCTAAACCAGAGCTCCGCCTTCTTGGACATTAACCTAACAGCGGCCATATTATTGGTCAGACGATGTCATTAAAAATGAGGCTCCGACAGCACAAACACAGAGCAGAGGTCCAGGTCGCCCCTGCAGGCAGCGAGCAGCTACAGCTGCCTGTGTCAGCATCCACTTGTCGGTCAAAGAGGCAACGATGCAAACTTTGAACCTGGACGTTAGAAGAGCTGCAGGTTTTGAACTTCAGGTTGATTGATGAACAAAGACACGTTCAAACATTGCAGAGCTTTTCTGGGGTTATTTCCATTTTAAACACATTAAACTGAGTCACTTGTTCAATGTTCATATCTGTGTTTGCAGCGACTGTGCAGAGAAAGAAACTGCTCCAGAGGGACAGGACGATGTGGTGGCAAGAAAACTGTGGGAGGTGAGCACACGTCTGGTCGGACTGAAGAACACCTGCTGACCTTTAACCTCTGACACACGAAGCAATGGAGCTGCAGACTGCGGACAAATGAGAACAGAAACAAACAGATTTACCTCTTGTAGAGACAAATGAAGCTCTGTGTTGTTGCCCCGTTTGAGTCCCAGATGTTCCAGCTGCTGATATTTGTCCTGTCCTCCAGAACCTGGACTCTCATGTGCAACATAAACCTCCATGTCCCCCGACTGTCCCCTCACTGTCCCCTCACTGCTCCCTAAATATTTCCTGACTTTTCCTTCGTTTTTTCTCCATTGTATGTTTATTATTCCATCACGTATCTTCATGCTTTCCTCTTTTGATGCTTTCGCTGACTTCCTGTGTCCTCCTCTTTACTGGTTGGTGATGTGTGGAGTTCAGCTGTGTGGACGTGAAGCTTTGGGTGTTATTAAAGACAGTTTGACTGTTTCTATACTCTGTGTGTGTTTGATAGATTCAGTAATAATAAATCCAGAATGCTCTGTGGGTGGAGCTTGGCGAGCACCTTTCTTTCCAATAAATGAGGCCTCATTTCTTACGCGTGGTTCCAGCTCTTCTTGGTATCACAGGGTCAGAGTGCTCCAGAAGGGTTCATTTTTCAGCTTTGGGATTCTTGCAGTGACACCGATCCTTGCTCAGTAATAAGAAAATAATGAGATCCTACCGCCGGCTTTCACCCTTAAATATCCGTCTTACCTTCTCATCCGTGTCGTGTTTTGGTGCATATGCTAAACTGGCCCTCCATGATTTCTTCTTCATGTTTCAGATCATCAAACAAAGCTAGCCTGTAAATACTTCCTCCTCAGAGCAGCATTCATGGTTCCCTCAGTTACAGCGAGTCGGACCACCACCACAGCTGCTGCTGGGATGTTCTCTTTATGAAATCCTCTGTTAGTGTCGTGCTGATGTAACTGGACTCAAACTTTCCAGAGTTCAGCTTTGTCTCATCAGTCCACAGAATATTTCCTCAAAGCTTTACACTGCACTCGCTGATGCCTTCAGCAGCTGCCGGTCGAACCACAGCAGGGAAACTGAGCGGGCTGGTAAAAGCTGCCTTTAATAAACCCGAAGGTCTCTTATCAAGAGGTGCCTGTGGAGTCTGTTCCTTGTACCGTGGGCCTTTCTGAGAGCTCTAATGGTCTTATTCTCTCATTGTAAAGCTGTCAGTGAACCATCACACACGAGCAGGTGAGCAGGTGGCCATCGTAGTGCAGGAAGGCCTCAAAAGACCTTATTCTGAGGCCTCTTGGAACAGAAGCATCAGCAGGTTTAAACGTGACGCTAATGACGAGTGAATAATGAAGACGTGTTCAACATACAGTCCCAGCCAACCCCACGGGGCTCGTGGGTAATGAAGTCCCTGCAGTCAGGCTGGATGTGACATCTTTTTGAATATTTACAGCCTTTCCTGTTGAATAATTGATGACACAATCCTGAAAGGGGGGGGGTCACTTCTACTTCCTGCTGAAATGGTGGCTCCAATAGTGGGGTGGGGGGGGCGAAGACTTCCTGCTAAGTAACGATGGATGATAAAGAAACTCACAGTGGACTGACTGTTATCTGAATCGCTTTTATTTTTAGTGAGTTCTTATCTTATTTTCAGTTTATTACTTTTATTGTTTGTTTATTTATAATAAAAATAAATTTGGAATTATAAGAAAGAAACAATTTTTAACCTTTGTTTATGTTTAACTTGCTATAAGATGGCTGACAGGCTCTGTGTCGCCCCCTGGTGTCATCCAAGTAAACGTACTTGTGCTGTGGAGCTGCACTTTCAGAAGGACACGTGATACGTCATCGCATCCTTGCAGCTGTGCATGGTTTCTATAACACAAATAAGAAACTAAATCTTAAAAATAAATCCTGTGCAGTACAAAGTACAATCTTTTGATCCAGAATAAAGTCAAACAGTATCAGAAAGTAGAACAAGTACATTAAGCGTGTACTTAGTAGAGTAAATCTTTAAGTTGCTTGAAGACGTTTCACCTCTCATCTGAGAAGCTTCTTCAGTTCTAGGACTGAAGAACAGGGGCGATACAATCAGAGCTTTGGGGGTGCTGAGCACCCAGACAGCTGCCCAGCCAGGCAAGATCAACTTTACTCGTCACGATGAGACGTCGTCCCCGTCTCTGTCAGTCCCTGCATCCTTAAATGTCTCCAGTTGTCCCGAGTTGTCGCTGACTGTCTCCTTTGTGCATTTAAACCCCTGCTCCTCGTCTGTTGTATTCATCTACGTTATCAGTCATCAGAATTTTACCGTCTCTGTACAAATTTCTTTATTAAATCATAAGATTCTTAAATTCATCAAGTCTCTCTGTGCCTCTCGGTACGATCTCCCTACCACCCATTTGTTTCGCTATTTTCAAATTCGAAATTTTGTTGCCAAGTGTTTCCCAAATTTCCCCTCTTTACCTCCAGAACAGCAGTGGGAAACTACGCTATCATTTATTCCTCATCACAGAGGAACCATTTCGAAACTCTATGATACTATCCCGTCTTTTAGTAACCACTCTAATGTTAAGCTTAAGTGTCCACGGGAAGGAGAACTAGGAATTCAAATCCATGAGGAGTCTTGGGAACAGGCTATAGCGAAGGTACGATCTCCACCTCCTGCGCTCCTCTTGGACTTATTCAATTTAAGGTCTACACAGGGCGCATTTCTCTGAGTCTAGACTTTCTGAATTGTATCCAGAAGTGGAAAATCATGTAATGATGCAAGCCCGATCCTTTTATTTAGCAAAACTGTGATTAATAGTTAAATATTATTGTTGAGGGGCACAGACGGACTCCGCACGCACACACACATTAAAAAAATTAAATATTATTTTTTAAGTTGCCTCAACAAAAGGGCACTTGGCACCATCAGGAAAGGGGCGGGTGCTCAAGCCCTCTAGCCCCCCCCTCCCCCCTCTGCACGTGGCTGTTGGGGATGTTTGATTCCAGCTGGAAGGAAATCTATAATTCATGTTTGGTGTCCTAACAGGAAGTACATCAGCACCTGGTCACATGTTCCCAGCTGATCCTGCTCTTCATGTTCACTCTGAAGAAGATTTTCTGAGACACTGGAAGCTGCAGGAGCACAAATGAACCCAGGAAGTGCATATTTGAGCAAAATCAATACTTCATTCTTTATGTTTTATTGAAACACGTTCAGAGTGAGGAGCTTTTTCTTTGCTTCTGTTTTTAAAGCTGGTTCTTAAACCACAACAGGTCCAACTCACCCCACCATGAACATACTCTTATTATAAGCAGTGCACCTATATACAGCTGCAAACCTCTGTCACACACAGTCTGCACAGAGGACTCTCTCAGGACCAAGGGTCATGGTCGGGGGGAGAAATGACTGCCTTCAGAGTAAAAGATGTGCCTTAATGCTGAAAGTGACACTTTTCAAATGGCACAACTGTTATGTTGAAGGTGCAGATTCTCCATTTAATTTGTCTAAAAAAACCAAAGTGGGCTTCATAGATAATTGGCAAAACTTCTGGAGGAAACCTGGTCTTGTTAGGAGAGACGGCATCCATCCCACTTTGGATGGAGCAGCTCTCATTTCTAGAAATATGGACAAATTTATTAAATCCCCCAAAATATGACTATCCAGAGTTGGGACCAGGAAGCAGAGTTGCAGTCTTACACGCCTCTCTGCAGCTTCTCTCCTCCTGCTACCCCCCCAAAAACCCATCTCCAAAAAGACTGTGTCAGCTCCCAAACAGACCAATTCTGTTTACATTATACATGCTTCCTTTAGGCAGCAGCATCAGAAGGCATAGCAAACATTTGACACCCAGCTCTGTCCGTGAATTCAAAGTCCTGCTCCTCACATACAAGGTCTTAAATAATCAGGCCCCATCTAATCTTAATGACCTTGTAGTACCATATCACCCTATTAGAGCACTTCGCTCTCGCTCTGCAGGCCTACTTGTTGTTCCTAGAGTATTTAAAAGTAGAATGGGAGGCAGAGCCTTCAGTTTTCAGGCCCCTCTTCTGTGGAACCAGCTTCCAGTTTGGATTCAGGAGACAGACACTATCTCTACTTTCAAGATCAGGCTTCAAACTTTCCTGTTTGCTAAAGCATATAGTTAGGGCTGGACCAGGTGATCCTGAATCCTCCCTTAGTTATGCTGCAATAGACGTAGGCTGCCGGGGATTCCCATGATGCACTGAGTTTTTCCTTTCCAGTCACCTTTCTCACTCACTATGTATTAACAGACCTCTCTGCATTGAATCATATCTGTTATTAACCTCTGTCTCTCTTCCACAGCATGTCTTTATCCTGTCTTCCTTCTCTCACCCCAACCAATCACAGCAGATGGCCCCGCCCCTCCCTGAGCCTGGTTCTGCTGGAGGTTTCTTCCTGTTAAAAGGGAGTTTTTCCTTCCCACTGTCGCCAAAGTGCTGCTCATAGGGGGTCACATGATTGTTGGGTTTTTCTCTGTATGTATTATTGTGGGGTCTACCTTACAATACGAAGCATCTTGAGGTGACTTTTGTTGTGATTTGGCGCTATTTAAATAAAACAGAATTGAATTGACCTGTGAGTGTTACGGGGCTCAGAGACCAATACGTGGACGTGGACCCAGATATGGATATGAGTACGGGAAGCAATGGTAAGGTTTCTCACAAGCTTTATTTGGTGACACAAAGAAAACCCAGAGAGGTACTGCTACAACGTGTGTCAGATGTGCGGGGCTCTGTGAACAGAGGGAAAGGTTTATCAGCAGAGGCTCAGGAAGCCCGGGGTGTAGATGAGGAGACAGACTGAGTTATGGCAGGTGGAGTGGTAATGGCATGAAGAGAAGCGTGGATAGCCGGGTGAGCATCCAGCAAGGGTGTAAACAACCTCCAGGCTGATTGATCTGGAGATCCAGGCAGATGGGGAAAGGTGGTGACCAGCGTCCAAGAAGTGAGCGGGCTGCAGGCAGTGGTGAATCCAGAGACCACAAGGACAGTATGGAAAGTTATCCATAGTTACTTAGTACGGCGAGTAAAGATGGCCTGTTACTAACACAAGTTAGCTGACAAACTGGCGAAGAAGAGATGTGGACACTGGTGTTAAATACTAAGTGGACTGATTCTTATACAGCACTTTTCTACTCTCCCAGAGTACTCAAAGCGCTCTGTACAACGTGCACCATTCACCGTCTCTATACTTGGTGCTTTCTGACTACATGCAGACACATTCATACTCTGATGGATGCATCGGAGGTTAGGATACTTAGCATGCAGGGATTGAACCACCAACCTTCTGATCAGTAGGTGACCTGCTCTACCTCAAAGCTGGACCCTATTAGGGTGGTGTCAGAGAGGTGGATGTTTGTCCAAGATAAGGACGATGCTGGATAATACCGCCCACCCACTCAATGACGTGCTGGCCAGTCACAGGAGCACGTTCAGTGAGAGACTGAGATTACCCATAATGCACCACTGTCTGTGGATTTCTGTACAGCTCCATCTAACGCACAGCACATGGTGAAATTCACAGGTCAATCATATATCATTATTATAACAAAGCATTACATTCATAAATGCCGATATGCTAAATCCCCCCTTCATGGCCTGCTCTTAAAAACGAACTCCCGTAAATCTCTTAAGCTAATAAATAAGCTCCGAGCAATCAAACTGCATAGTTTTTTAGAAGAGTTTGATTTCTCTGTGATCCCCCTTGTCTCCTTTATTTCTGTTCCTTGTTTTTCATTCTTTTTTATTGTTATTTAGTTATTTTTGTATTGGTTATTCATCTTTTTATATTATTATTATTATTATGTAGATGTGTGTGTATAAATGTGTACGTATGCGTGTGTGTATATGCATACGTACACATTTATACACACAGACATGTATGCATATATATGTCTGTGTGTGTATGTGTGTTTACTTTCAGTTATTGTCGATTTCATCGTGGTGTACCAACTGTGGCAGTGATGTGTATTCCTCTGATTGGGAGAAAAGAAAAAGGAGGTGTGATTCTGTTCTGAATGATTCAATATGTCGCTTGTCTCTTTGAGATTGTCATTGTTATTGTTCTAAATAAAGTTCGTTTAAAAAAATAAAAATGTCAATCATATATATTTCACCTCTGTAATATTCTGGATGTTTATAATTGAGCGATTTCTTATGTTTGTAACTGTACATTATTTCACTGGTTCAGTCTGTTGCTCTCATTGTCTTGGAGCGACTGTAAACACATCATTTCCTCATAAATGATCTGATTCTGATAACATGGGCGTCTGTGGAGACTGACGCTCTGCTGCCTCTGCTGGACACCAGAGGAACTGCAGGCGGCCACCAGAGGGCGCAGTGACAGCGCCGCTGGGCTGTAGAGGCTGTTTGCCTCTGCCGTGCAGCCCTGGTCTGGTTCCTCCCCCCGCTCCTCCCCGGCTCTCCGCCCTGCAGGCTGTGGTCGGTCCGGGTGCTCCGCCGCTGTGTGGCAGTGGGAGCTGAGTGGGCTCGGGCTGACACTCCGGAGGTCTCGTGCCTGTGACCTGAGCGGACTTGGAGGATTTACAGCTGATCTGCACGCACCGAGGGTCGCGGCTGCGCACGTGAACGCGCTGAATGTAAGTGTGCTGAAGTTCCGTGTTTTTATCTCTGAACGTGTTTTTACAGCGTTAAAGTTTTGGAGACACACTTTTCCAAAGTTCAGGAAGCCCGAGGACGGACAGCTGCGGTCCGCGGGCGCAGACGCTTTCAGGCACGGCGTGTATGGAAGCTCGTTAGTGCCAACGTGCCCACAGGTGATCCCGTGTGCACACGGTCACAGCTGCAGGATGAGCAACTGGCGTGGCAGAGTGGCACCTTTGAGCCTGTCTCTGTGCTGAAAGCTGCACTGGGAGACGAGCACGAACCCATCACCCACATCCCCCCACCATCACCCACATCCACCCCCATCCACAGTGTGTCTGACGCCCTGAGCTGCTCCACGTTCAGGTTGTTTTAGGGGCGGCTGTGGCTCAGGAGGTTCACCATCCACTGATCAGAAGGTTGGTGGTTCGAAACCTGGCTGCCCCAGTCTGTGTTAGTGTGTGTGTGAATGAGGCGTGACGAGGAGCGTGTTTTCCTTCAGTGGACGGTCTCAGCCCCTAAATCACGGCTGAAACGTGCGTCCGCTGCTGTGGCCCCGAAGCCTCCTCTGCACATCAGTGCTGGTTCAAAACTCATTTTTATTCACTGGCCTTTGACTCAGTGGGTAACTGACACTGTTATTGTTATTTATTTATTGTATTTTTTTATTATTTCTGCTGGTCAGCCATGTGTTGTTTTTAAGGTGCTGTATAAATAAATGATGGTATGAAGCTTCAATGGCGGTCTCACTTTAGCACAGGCAGGTCTGGCGCTCATGAGGCCGACCGATGGCGCGTATTTGTCTGACATCACGGCGGCTTCATCTTGTTTGTTTAGAGGGTGGACGGTCTTCCAGGAACGCTTCAGGGAGTTTGTCTCCCCCGCCTCGGCGAGGCCTTTAAGGACTGACGGAGCAGATTGTTGGAGTGAGGTGAGGCGTGGCGGCAGCTCGCGCTGTGCTCAGCATGTGATTAGGCTTTGCTTACAGCGAGTTTCACACCTCAGGCCTGTCTAATGCCTCTGTTGTGTCTCTGCAGCTCGCGGCGCTCGGTTACCCAGCTGCGGTGGACGTGGACCACCTGTGGGTGGAGGATGGCCCGCTGGAAGGAAGGCGCCACCCTCCTGCTGGCTCTGCCGGTTCTGCTCAGCCTGCCAGTGGAGGCCCGAACTCACGGCCCGGGTCAAACCCAGCATGACCACGAACGCCTCCAGAACATCACACTGGCTGTCATTTTACCAGAGAACAACACCAGATACCCGTGGGCGTGGCCTCGCATCGGCCCTGCTGTGGACCGGGCCGTCAGAAACATCAACGCCGACCCCACCCTCCTCCCCAACCATCACCTTGTGTACTTCTTCAAGAACAGCCAGGACAAGGATGGGATGTGCTCCGAGTCCGTCGCCCCGCTCATGGCGGTGGACCTGAAACTCGCCTACAACCCGTGGGCGTTCATCGGGCCCGGCTGCTCCTACAGCTCCTCCCCCGTCGGCCTCTTCACCACCCACTGGAGCGTCCCCATGGTGACGGCAGGCGCCCCGGCCGTGGCGTTTTCCAGCGGAACGTACCTGTCCATCACCAACACGGGGCCAACGCACAAGAAGCTTGGGCGGTTCGCGGTGCGGATCTGCGAGCATTTTGGGTGGCGGGAACAGGTGATGGTTGTCTTCAGCGACAACAAGAAGGACGACCGGCCGTGCTACTTCGCCATCGAGGGTCTGTACATGGAGCTGAGCAACATCAACATCAGCGTCGAGGAAAGCGTGTTCATGGAGGAGTCCGTGACCTACTCCCAGATCCTCTCCAAAATCCAGGATAACGGGCGAGGTGAGTCCGCGACCGGCCGCCAAATAAACGTGCTTCCAAACTGGTCTCTGTAGGTGACGCCCCCTTCATGACACCTGTAGGTTAAGGTCATCTGAATCAGATCAGAGTTTTAACTAAAATTGAATGTGAACAAACACGCTCGAGCAAATCAGAGAGCTGCTCACCTGGACGTGGCATTTTCGGCATGTGGCGAGCTTCGGTGGCGTGCTTTCTCTTTGATCCTCGCAACTGACATTATGCGACGTCCACACCACGCTGCTTTCCTCGCAGCAAAAGAAATCAGCTTTGTCAACATCTTGTGTTAGTCCAGAAAAACCAGCAGGCACCAGGTAGATCGCACCGGTCTGTCCAATCGGAAACCTTTATCTGTGCACAGCATCACCCTGCTGCTACACAAACACGCACACGTTGGTAGGGATGGGTATCGAAGACCTGAATCCCACTGTTTCAGTTCCTTGGAAGTTTGCCATTTTTGCAAACGATTCCCTTATCGATTCCAGTCGCCCCGAATGACGTCACCACGTTGCGGAGCGTCATTTACCTGGCAGGAAACACGGCGGCTCAAACGCTCAAAAGTTTGGTTATACTTTACGAGAACGGATGACAACAGGGCAACTTGCAATACTTGCAAAGTAGATATTTCATTTAAGGGAGGAAACACTACGAATATGCAAAAGCATTTGCTCACAAAACACGCGATGACCTTAAATGAATGTCGTGTTTTTAATCGTCGGTCGTGAATCTCAACCCAGCAGCAGCGGTAACGTTTGCACGTCCTCTCCCGTTAATGCGGCAGGTAAATAATCAACTAACAGTGCATATTATGTTAGCGCGATCTGCCTTATTACAAACCTGCCATTACTGTGCATTTAGTGACCATGATGAGACAGAGTCTGGCTCAGATGCTGGCAGTTCTCGCTGCAGTCTGCCGGTAGCGTCTCCTTTCAGGCCAGGATAGACGAATGTCACCGAGCAGTGACTCAGTTTGTGGTCAAAGGCTTGCACCCGTTTGCCACAGCAGGTGATTTTCAGTAAGTGAATGTGTTTAATTGTAGGCAGGGACATTACTGGATATTCTTGTGTAATTGCTACAGAATAATTTATGTTATACTTTGTTATTGCTACAGAAGAATATTTATTTTATTATTTTACATTTACATTTTTTTTCCTGGGGACCCTGTGACACCCCATTGAAGAGCCGTAGGCTGGATCTCTTAAGATCTCACTGTTGGGTTTGTAAGGCCATGTTACTCCTAAATTTCTATCTTGTTCAAAGAGAAGATATAAAACAAAGTTCTAAGCTAATCGACCTTAGTGTTCTCCTTTTTAAAAAGAATCGATAAGAGAATCGATAAAGAATCGAATCGTGAAAATCTTATCAATACCCATCCCTACACGTCAGGTATTCATAACTTGTAGGGACGTCTAACTGACCGTTTACCCCAAACCACCTTAACGCTGTAACTAACATGCTCCAAACTCGCGGGGTCAGGTCCTCACAAAGATATGAATACTCAGAGGAACACACACACACACACACACACACACACACACACACAGAAACGATGTGTGTGTGTGCGATCCTCTACCTCCTCCCCCTCCTCTGCAGCAGAGGCAGAAACTCGAGCTGAATCGACCGCGATGCTGTGGCTGGTTTGTCAGAGGAGCTGCAGACACACACCTGTTGTTAAGTCATTTCCTGTCAGAGATGATCAGACCTGCGTTCAGGTTTAATGCCGGAGCCCTCAGAGTCTAAACAGAAGGATTCTGACTCGGTACTGCAGTAAAGCATCGTCCTGCAGTGTAGATAAACTGACAGCAGCTGGCAGTACGGATGCTGGTGCTGAAAGTTGTGTTTCAGTAAGCTGCGTATGTGGATGATTTTACGGTTTTGACCAGATTCTCTTTAGCCTCTGAAGTCCTGCATGAAGCACAGGGCTTTTATTTTGAAAAACCGCTACAGCTTGCCACCGTAGACCCACATCTGGCTGTTTTTTCCTCGTGACACTCTAACCTGGGTTTCGTGTCCCAGCCGCCGTGCAGATACACCTGCAGACGAACTCCTGCACTCGGAGCTTCGGCCCGTTCTCCAGCTGAGATCCGTGAGCGGAGATCACGGCCTCGGCCGGGCTGAGGTGCAGACGTGCAGACGAGCTGCCTCCAGGCCCTGACTTTTCAGGGTTTTAGTCATCCACAAAGCGCTCTAACCTTCCTGCGTCGCTCGCTGTCTTTGATCGTCTTTTCATCATTTCTGCTGTCAAACTATAACAGCATAGTTTCTCCAGTACAAAGCGAGGACTTTGAGCGTCCGTGAAGCCGTTTGCACACAGAGCAGGAGCAGGAGGAGAGGCTGGGACTCGCGTGTGATGGATAATTCAGAGAGGCTGGGAGTTTGTGGGAGTGAAAGTCTGTCGGGTGAGCTGAGGGGGAGCACAGGACCTGAGACGTGGTGCCTTCGGCTCGGCCACAGTTTAGCGATGGAGTCATAAATCGAGCGTCCTCTATCTGCGGAGGTGTATCAGTGTGTAAACCCGCCGAGAGCTCGAACAAACAGCCTCAGACAGCTTCCCTCTCCGGTTCCCACAGAGCCAGCAAACCTCCCGACAGCACATTCATTAACAGAGGTCACAACCTGCCGCCTTATAAGGCCGCCACGGACGCCTATCAGATCTGTAGGTATTTCCTGCCAAACACACTGAGGCTAATTTTACCTTGTGTCTGCCTTTTGTCTCCTTAATCAAACACTATGAGACAAGCTGCTCTGAGTACAGCTCAGCCTCTTTATTAGGCACGGCATCAGACAGCAGCGAATCAGCCTCAGAGGAGTGTGAGCTGCAGGTGAGCTACAGTTTGACTCCAGGAGCTCTGCGGTGGGGAAATCCGTCTTCTGCAGGCTACAGGGTGTCTGGAAGCTTCTGGATAATCTGTGCGGTAAAACGCCACGCACGTCTCTGTCAGCACAGCCAACAGGACAATTACACTGAAAGGCTTCACTGAGATAAAAACCCATAAATGGCTTCCTGTGGTTCCTGGTCAGCAGCAGGCAGAATAATCATCCAGTTAGCTCCAGTCTGGACTCCAGTTGACAAGTTGGAGACATGGGTTCAAAGTTTCCTGTGAGCAGAGGCGTCGGTCCTTTGGTGCAGATGAGCCCTGAGAGTTTGCAGAGAAGCTCCTGGGACTGAAGAGCCCTCCAGCTGATTAACCTCTTGCTTCAGTTCATCAGCCCTGCCCTCATTAATAATAATAATAATGTGTATGTGTTAGTCCCTATAGGAAAAATTCCTCTGCATTTAACCCATTCAGCCAGTGAAGCAGTGGGCAGCCACCAGTGCAGCGCATGAGGAGCAGTGTGTGGGGACGGTACCTCGCTCAGGGGTTCCTCAGGGTAGCCGTTCAGTTGATTTGAAACCTCGACCTCCCGATCACGGGGCGACCACTCTACCCTCTATCCCAGTCCACCAAGGGGGCGAGCTCCTAGCTCCTCGCAGCTAACGGGCTAATAGGAGCCGAGAGTGGAACTAGTTTGTAAGTCTCACTGGAGACCAAAGTGAACCCTAACGAGTGCTCTCAGCGTGAGCTCTTTACAGCACTCGCTGATTCCACCGCGTCACTGTTTGCTGACGCATTAGTGCTAATGGCTGCCGGCTGATAACGAGGCCAGCCAGATATGAGAGGTTTTAGGACAAAGTTTGTATTTTCCATTGTTTAAGCACCGCTTCCAACCAAAGGAGGTGTTGTATCAACAGAAGAGGCTAACTTGGTTTTCATTTTGCAGAAAAAAAGAGACTGCTAAAAATAAAAACACGAGACGTTTTTGGACAAAGTTTGTTCTCCATTCTTTACGCACCGTTTAAGCCAGTGGTTCCCAAACTTTTTCGCTAGGCCCCCCTTTGTTTTACAAGAAGAATGCTGCCCCCCCCCGGCGCGCACGCACAAACACATCCTCCAACCACACACGCCCATATTTTGCTCCATTGCAGTTTACTTCACACCTCAAACATTTAGTAAACAATTAAGCAAATACAAGTAATCTGCAATAAATTACAGGTAGTAACAAAATAAACTACTAACTCTTTTACGCTGCGTCCGCACCTACACGGGTATTTTTGAACACACAGCTGTTTCATCCACGTAAACGATGTTTCGAATCACTGAAAACGGAGATTTTTAAAACTCCTTTTTTGCGTTTATGTGTGGACGAGGAATACAGAGTTTGTCACGCAACGTCAAAGCTATGTGCCTTTTTCACGTCACGCTGTGGCCACGTTATTGTTTACATGAGATGAACTGCAGAATGGCAGAGAGAGACACAATACTGTTAATCTGACTGTCTGCAGGTTTTACAGCAGTTACTGTCCCTCCATTTACAAAGGCAGAGGCTCACGGTGTCATTATTTTACTGTAGTTGTTTTTTCCTGTGTAATAATATTCAACATTGCTATCAAATCAAAAATGCCTCTCTGTGAAAATGGGTTCAAAAACATAAACAGCTGTGGGATCCTGTTTGTCTGTGATTTGAACCGGGGGAACAAATCGTGGCAGGATCAGCCTGATGTTATTTGTATCCCGCTGTAACTTTACTGTATAAAGAGCAAACATCTCCAACATGTCAGGAGCAGTTAGTCATTACAACAAGTGTTTGTGAACTAAAAATCAAGAACGTGGGATCCTGTTTGGGCCCCACACTTTGGGAAGCTCTGGTTTATGCACCGCACTGTTTCAAAAGTACCAGTTTGGCACCGGCATCGGATAAAACCTAAATGATACCCATCCCTACAGATCCATCATCCATCCTGTTCAGGATACCGTATTGTTGTTTCATTGTGTGACTTTTTTGTTGCTGGTTTTTAATTGCTTCCTGGTCCCAACTCTGGATGGTCACGTTTTGGGGGGTTTAGCCTGGGGACGGGACCAGAGTAGACTACAGTTCAACATAATTTTAGCAAAGTTGATTTAATATTAATTTTTCTGTACAGTCAATTTATAACGTACATAGTGTGTTTGTATGTGCATGCGGTTGTTTTTGGTCAAAGTTGCTCTGAGAGAAACGTCCTACGGTGTGAAAGCTCGTCGTTACGTTGGTGATGTGTGCAGGAAGCAGACTGAAGTGGTTCTGGCGGTTCTGGACTCCTGAAGCCAAACTGCAGCTCAAACATCCTCTGACATCATGCTCTCCGTGTGCCGTCGCCATGGTGATGAAGCAAGCAGCTCATCCTGAACAAACGTACCCACGAGGCCGTGCTTCAGCCCACTCTGCTGCTTCCTGTCCATCTGGCAGCGGTTAAAGATTAATATGGTGGAATGTCAGTAGTGAGGGGCTGGGAGGGGGCGGGGGGCGACCCGCAAATTTATTGCTTCGCTTTGGATGATGTCACGGCGCCGAGCTGGAAACTGATTGCAGACGTGGAGCTGAGTGCACTGGAAAATCAGCTGATCGGCGATGAGATCTGTGAGGGAGGCTCAGTCTGAGCTGTCACGATGATGATGTCACATTTGTGTTGTTTCGGTGCCGAACCACCTGCCGGCAGCCTGCCAACGGGGGTTCAGACACCAACCACCAATCTGCTGTCGTTACTGTTGTGAAGGGGCATGTTCAGACCGGTGGGTGCAGCTGCAACTCAGGTGGCTCATGTACCAATCAGAAAGCTGGTGTTCAACCCTGCACAGGTGTTCTTGAGTACGATGGGTGGTTACAGCTGGTAGGTCTGACCTCGTGTGACTTTAGACATCCGTCGTCGAGCTGTGACCTCTGTCTGTGCTCCTGATCACCTGACAGGTCATGTGATCTGCGGTCTGCTCGACTTTGGGCCGTGTGTGAACCCCAGTGGCGTTTTTCTTTAAACAGGAACTTCTCCACTCTGTGTGAAGGAACAAGAAGTGATGAGAGTGGATGAGCTGATGGAGGATCACCCTGTTTACACGAGAAAGTTTCAGGAACGCATTAACGGCAACAAACACAGCATGTCTTCATCCTGTCTTCCTTCTCTCACCCCAACCAATCACAGCAGATGGCCCCGCCCCTCCCTGAGCCTGGTTCTGTTGGAGGTTTCTTCCTGTTAAAAGGGAGTTTTTCCTTCCCACTGTCGCCAAAGTGCTGCTCATAGGGGGTCATATGATTGTTGGGTTTTCTCTGTATGTATTATTGTAGGGTCGACCTTACCATATAAAGCACCTTGAGGTGACTGTTGTTGTGATTTGGTGCTGTATAAATAAAATTGAATTGAAAACCTTCAGCCGAACATAACTCAGAGGAATGCTCTGGAGCTTTTCCTGAGCGTCTCAGCTTCAGCCTGGTTTAAACGCCAGTGACACGGCGACCTTATTGGATCTGATTTTATGAAGGTTCACGTTCGGATGGAGCTGATACTGCAGGGCCCAGAATGGAATGTGCACGGGAATTCTGGGACAGCTGGAAGAGTTGCAGGGATCCTCTGACTGTGACCATCACTTGCTTGGTCGCCCCGAAGCATCCAGGTTTGCTCGTCAGTACAGAAATAAAAAGCTCAAAAAGGATTCGGGTCGATTTGGTATGTGTGACACTGACAGCAGGGCCTGCAGAGTAAAAGAGCTGCAGGACCCACACCGGGCACATGTTAGGCCTGAGACCGAATGTGGACGTGGAGGTCGTGCAGAGGTGAACGCTTGTGTCTGTCTGCATCTGCAGCCTGGATTTCTGCTTCGCATGTCCTGAAAGAGGAAGCAGCAGAAACCTGACACAGGAGGAGCGCAGCCCTCTGACCTCAAAGGAAACCAGTGCCAGTACGAGAAGCTGGATGAGGCTCTGACTCCATCATTTCCTCAGTGAAGCTTCCTTTTCCTGCGTGTGAGGTCACGCTCAGATGCAGACGGCGAGCTGGTGAAGCGGCGGCAGCTTGGCCTGCGCTCTGCTGCTGAGTTAAACGGAGACGTCAGCTCTGACTGCCTGCGGTGCTCTGAGCTGACCGCAGCACAGTGAAGCCATCAGGAAAGATTTAAAATGGCAGCGTCATCTCTGAGCGGAGGGTCAGGATACCGCACGCATCAGCAGGATGGCGAGCTTAGAGCGCTCGTTAACCTGATGTTTTCCTTCAGTTAGGAAAAACCCGAGGCTGTGGTTATTTAATGCAGCCACTGTGCCGGCGGGCAGATACAAACACCTTACATCACGTCCTCCTGACCCAGACAGGAAACAACGGAGCGCCGTTTCTGTGGAAACCCACGAAGACTCGCCCCGACAGCCGGCAGGAGCAGCTGGAGTCACAAACATTTCTCTGAGTGCACTCATTTTTCCCGTCTCTGTCAAAACACACAGCTGCCCTTCAGACAGCATTGTTAAGCTCCTCCTCCTTGTTAGAGGGGGTGGAGCGTGAAACCTGCTGAGTTTTCTTCTCTGAAGCAGAGACGGTTGAACTCCTGCAGATGTGAATTGTTTCCTGGTCAATTTAGGTTCATCACGTGGTGCTTTATGTTTGATGTGGACGCTGATTGGCTCGGTCACCTGAGTAGTCTCTGCCAATCAGAAGGAGAGTTCAGACTCTAACATGAAGATTTTATGCAACCAGTTCGAACACAGCTTCTTATTTCATGTTTTTTCTTTATTTTTATGACATTTTCACATCGTAGATACAAACTGAAGACATCTAATATACGAAGCAAGATATGTGGAATATGTAGCAAAGAAAAAATATAAACAACTAAATCTGTTTTATATTTTAGATTCCTGTAAGTAGCCTCCTGACATGGTTTCACCTCACAGGTGAGCCTGTCCGGGTTCATTTGTGGAGTTTCTTGCCTTCTTAATGCCGTTGGGACCATCAGTTGTGTTGGGCAGAAGCAGGTTGGTGCACAGCTGACAGTCCTATTTGACAACTGTTAGAATTCATATTATGGCAACAACCAATCAGCTAAGAGAAACAACAGTCCATCATTACGTTAAGAACTGAAGGTCAGTCAGTCCGTAAAATTGCTAAAACTTTGAATGTGTCCCCAAAATCCATCAAGCGCTACGATGAAACTGTCTCACATGAGGACGCCCAGGACAGGAAGACCCAGAGTCCCCTCTGCTGCTGAGGGTAAACTCATCCAAGCCACCAGCCTCAGAAATGACAAGTTAACAAGTTGAGAATGGTTCACACAGAAAAGGTGAACAATGGTCTCTACATGCATGGTTCATGCATTTGAGCAAGTGTGCTGCTGTGAGCCTTGGACAGATATTTTCACTACGCTCTCGCCTGTTCCTGTAGTCTGCTGCTTTCTTCAGACGCAGTTTTACAAACCTCAGATGTTCTTTCATGACCTTTAGCCTTCTGTAGAGTCTGAGATGGAGCTTCATGGATCGCTCTCACTGTAGATTGTTTGGAGGTAGTCTCATAATCTTTCCTGTGAAAGCACCAGGTGCTTCCCTCACATCACTGCTCAGCATCGTGCTAACACGTCTCAGTGCCTCAGAAACATGCTCATTTTTAAAGGTGCTCACACCTGCTGATGGTGCATTCATCAGCATCAGCAGCACCTGGCTGCTGCTGACTATGGAAGCAGTAAGGAAGCACTTATTGGCTGTGTCCCAATTCAGGGTCTGCAGCCTTAATGGTCCACAAGGGCTGCGTACTCAAAGACCGCTAAGGCCGGAAGTGCGAGGCTTGTGAAATGGGCGGTCTAGCCTCGGTCGCGCTGCCCAGGTTGCCTAGCAACCATGACGCTAACAGCTGGACCTTAAATCTTCACTCAAAGACAGGTTCCTTTGACACTGTATGTATAACTATGTTATATATAAGAGACAAATATTGTTCTTTTAACATGTTGGCATTACTAAATTTGTCTCAGTGCTGACTTTAATTATCCATAAATCATCACATTCTCTGTCAGATTAAGGTCGACTATTGAACGGCGCATATTTAAAGGCTTTAAAACCAAGTTAGTACAAACGTCACTAACGTCACATGACTTTGCCGACATGTGGCCAACAGTCATGTTTTAATGTTCTTCATTATTAAACAGTCGCACAGAAATAAGTGACATCATATTCAGTACTTACTGAAAGTTTACTCTTCGGCCGCCCCTCATAAATATAGAGAGATCCTCCACTTCAAACTGTATCACCCTTCAAGGACCTGCACTTCAAAAAAGCCTCCCTTCGACAGCCAAACCCATCTGTTCTCTGATTGGATAGTTACATTTGTGATTGACATGACATTGACCAATCAGCTAAAAGGAAGAAAAATAGGGTCAAAATTCGTACTTGTAACTTGAAGCTTGAGTGCAGAGTTTCACACGGATTATTTGGCTAAGTCCACACAATTCTTTTTACACATACAAATCTTGATTTACAAGTACAAAATATTTATGACCACAATTTGAACCCATATGTGTGTGTGTGGAAGACCAGTGCTGGGTGTTTTCTAGAGAAACACCAGCTCAGGAAGTGTGAGGGTGATGGAGGAAGGTGATAGCTGTAGATGGAGGTGATGTAGGAGTACCAAAAGTGCAGCTACTAGGAGGCTGACTGTCCAATCAGACTGCATTTTCCCTGCAGAGGTGAAACCTCATTGACTCACACTGAGGCAGGAAGGAAAGAAAACAATCAGATGTGTTTGTCTGTCAGCGTGAACATTAGAGCAGGTGTGGAGCAGGTGAGCTCAGCCATGAAGGCAGAGGGGGGCGACCCACAGGTCTGTGCTGCGCCGTGGGCTGACTCTGATCTTCATCTGTGACTCTTCCTCTCTCTCCTCCTCAGTGGTCTTCGTCTGCTGTTCTCCTGACGTCTTCAGGAAGTTGATGGTTGAGTTCAGGCGGGAAAATCTCACTCACGAGCAGTACGTCTTTTTCTATCTCGACGTGTTCGCCGACAGCCTGAAATCTGAACACCGCCAGCCGTGGCGCCGCGGGGACCGTGAGGACGCTATTGCCAAGGAAGCCTTCCAGGTATGGCATCATTATCCAGGAGGAGGTCGGTCAAAGAAACCAGACTCTCCTGACTGCAGCTGACTCCACATGAACCTCACTGCCTCATACATCATACGTGATACATGACACGCTCTACTTTCAAGATTAGGCTTCAAACTTTCCTTTTTGCTAAAGCATATAGTTAGGGCTGGACCAGGTGACCCTGAATCCTCCCTTAGTTAAGCTGCAATAGACGTAGGCTGCTGGGGATTCCCATGATGCATTGGGTGTTTCTTCTTCACTCACTAGTTAATAGACTTAATAGACCTCTCTGCATTGAGTCATACTTGTTATTAATCTCTTTTTATTTCATGTTTTTTCTTTATTTTTACTACATTTTTACATCGTAGATACAAACTGAAGACATTAAATATACGAAGCAAGATATGTGGAATATGTAGCAAAGAAAAAAAGATAAATAACTAAATATTAGGGGTGCAACAATACTCGTATGGATATTGAACCGTTCGATACAGTGCTTTCGGTTCGGTACGCATATGTATGGAACAATACAACATTTTAAATTTATTTTATCAACTTTCCTTCTGACGATGCTGTCTGTGTTGAGCGCTCAGTGGATCTGCGCTCGACAGTGCAGCCTAGGCGGAGTAGTCGAAGCAGATTCACTGAGCGCAGGGCAAGCTAGCGAGACAGAAGCTAAGCTCGTTGCAACAGGCAAACTGAACCTCCCCCACCCTCATTCAGATCTGAGGTTTGGAATTATTTTGGTTTTCATGTGACGTATGACCCTGAAGGTAAGCGTGTCATGGACTAAAGTAAAACAGTATGTTGGATGTGCCACGCAATGCTCAATTACATGGGTGGGAACTAGTGTGTTAGCGCAGTTAGCTCGTTAACGTGTTGGCCGTCCAGCCCCACGCACGGGGCGATCCGCGGTAGCTCGTTAACGGAGATTTGCCGTGTTGTGGCGTTAAGGTCATTTCAGATTAACGCTGACAGCACTAGTGGGAACACAACGAATATGACTGCACATTTACGCCGACATCATCCTAGTGCAAAGACAAGTGGAAGCAGACAAAAACAACAAGCATGCTACAAACTTTACCCGAGTCATTTAGACAGCCGTTAGCACAGGATTCTCCTTATGGGGACCTGATATGTTTAATATGCTGCTGAGAATATAGCCCAGAAGAAGCGGATAGTATAGCTTTTATTTTGGAAAGAGCCATTTCTCTGTAATAAACTCTCTTTTCCAAAGATGAGTGATTCCTCGATCAGATAGATTATTTTTTTATTACTTTGTTGTTTCAGCAACATTCAATTTAAAAACTGTACTTTTGAGTTAAAATATATATTTATAATTTTAATAAATGACAAATTAAAAAGCATGAACATTTTTTTGTATCGAAAAAATATCGAACCGTGATTTTGTTTATCGTTGCACCCACTATATTTTATACACCGTTCCAAGTTATTATGCAAATTGTGTTTAAGTGTCATAAAGATTAAATAAGTTGTTTTTCAATTAAATGGGATTGTGTCTCAGAGCTCTTTGGATGACTGAAATCAATCTCGGACACCTGTGATCATCAGTTTGCCAGCTGAGCCCAATTAAAGGAACACTACTAAAGAAGGATGTTCCACATTATTAAGCAGACCACCATTTTCAAGCAACGTAGGAAGGAAAAATGATCTCTGCTGCTGAAAAGCATAAAATAGTTGAATGCCTTGGACACGTAATGAAAACCTTGGCTGAGTCAGAGCACACATGGGTTCCTGCAGGTAAAGGGACAATGATGCCATTACAAAGCAGCAAACACATATTTGAATCTGCTGGTGCCTCTGGAGGCCTGCGAACATGAAGCTGTAGGATCCTCCAGAGACTTGCAGTTGTGCATAAACCTTCTGCCTTTTAGTGTTCCTTGTCTATTGCCTGTGCGGTATTGTAACAGAAGCATACAGTGGGTTGATCACAGCTTAGACAGCTACAGTGGGGCAAAAAAGTATTTAGTCAGCCACCGATTGTGCAAGTTCCCCCACCTACAATGATGACAGAGGTCAGTAATTTGCACCAGAGGTACACTTCAACTGTGAGAGACAGAATGTGAAAAACAAATCCATGAATCCACATGGTAGGATTTGTACCGGGAGGGAGGGGCGGGGCCATCTGCTGTGATTGGTTGGGGTGAGAGAAGGAAGACAGGATAAAGACATGCTGTGGAAGAGAGACAGAGGTTAATAACAGATATGATTCAATGCAGAGAGGTCTGTTAACACATAGTGAGTGAGAAAGGTGACTGGAAAGGAAAAACTCAATGCATCATGGGAATCCCCGGCAGCCTACGTCTATTGCAGCATAACTAAGGGAGGATTCAGGGTCACCTGGTCCAGCCCTAACTATATGCTTTAGCAAAAAGGAAAGTTTGAAGCCTAATCTTGAAAGTAGAGATAGTGTCTGTCTCCTGAATCCAAACTGGAAGCTGGTTCCACAGAAGAGGGGCCTGAAAACTGAAGGCTCTGCCTCCCATTCTACTTTTAAATACTCTAGGAACAACAAGTAGGCCTGCAGAGCGAGAGCGAAGTGCTCTAATAGGGTGATATGGTACTACAAGGTCATTAAGATAAGATGGGGCCTGATTATTTAAGACCTTGTATGTGAGGAGCAGGATTTTGAATTCAATTCTGGATTTAACAGGAAGCCAAAACAGGAGAAATATGCTCTCTCTTTCTAGTCCCTGTCAGGACTCTTGCTGCAGCATTTTGGATCAGCTGAAGGCTTTTCAGTGAGTTTTTGGACATCCTGATAATAATGAATTACAGTCGTCCAGCCTGGAAGTAATAAATGCATGAACTAGTTTTTCAGCGTCACTCTGAGACAGGATATTTCTAACTTTAGAGATGTTGCACAAATGGAAGAAAGCAGTCTTACATATTTGTTTAATATGTGCGTTGAAGGACATGTCCTGGTCAAAAATGACTCCAAGGTTCCTCACAGCGTTACTGGAGGCCAAGGTAATGCCATCCAGAGTAAGAATCTGGTTAGATACCATATTTCTAAGCTTTTCAGGGCCGAGTACAATAACCTCAGTTTGATCTGAATTAAGAAGCAGAAAGTTAGCGGCCATCCAGGTCTTTATGTCTTTAAGACATTCCTGCAGTTTAACTCATTGGTGTGTGTTATCTGGCTTCATGGACAGATAGAGCTGGGTGTCATCAGCATAGCAGTGTAAATGTATGCTATGTCTTCTAATGATGCTGCCTAAGGGAAGCATGTATAATGTAAACAGAATTGGTCCTAGCACTGAACCCTGTGGAACTCCATAATTAACCTCAGTGTGTGAAGAGGACTCTCCATTTACATGCACAAACTGGAGTCTATTAGATAGATATGATACAAACCACTGCAGTGCAGTACCTGTAATACCTACAGCATGTTCTAATCGCTCTAATAGGATATTATGGTCGACAGTATCGAACGCTGCACTGAGGTCTAGCAGGACAAGCACAGAGATGAGTCCACTGTCAGAGGCCATAAGAAGATCATTTGTAACCTTCACTAAAGCTGTTTCTGTGCTGTGCTGAGCTCTGAAACCTGACTGAAACTCTTCAAATAAACCTCTGCAGATGATCTGTTAGCTGTTTGACAACTACTCTTTCAAGGATGTTTGATATGAAAGGAAGGTTGGAGATTGGCCTATAATTAGCTAAGACTGCTGGGTCTAGAGATGGCTTTTTGAGTAAAGGTTTAACTACAGCCAGCTTGAAGGCCTGTGGTACATAGCCGATCATTAGAGATAG